ATTTAATAGAAAATTATTTTTGTTTGCAATTTTAAACGAAAAAAAAAAAAAAAAAACTTTTTTTTTAACTTTTAACTTTTAACTGGCGTTTCCTGAACATAGAAAAATGCAATAAAATTCGAGAACGTTTGCTCTTTTTTTATTTTTGTTTACGAGATAAAAGTTTAGAGTGCTGTTAAAGTCAATGAAATTTCTTCTTCCTAAAGACTAAACCATAACAGATAAATCGATAACAAGCACACACACACACACACGCACACACACACACACACACACACACACACTACACTTCTAGTGTTTCTACTCAATTTTCTTTTTATGCCGTTTCCATTAACAAATATTTTAATATAAATCGTTCCGTAAAATATTCCATATAAACAGTATTTTTTTTTCTTTAATAAATAATATTTAATAATAAAGCATGAAAATAAATAGTAATGCAGAATACAAATGGTAATTAATAATATAGTGCTTAACAATACAGCATGCAGCGCTGTACTGTACTTAATAATACAGCATAAAGAAGGTATTTAACAATACAGCGTGAAGAGCGAATTTTTCTATAAAGTAAAAAACAAAAAATATGAAGTAATTTTTTAAAATCATATTTTATTAAATTAATTTCTTTAAATAAAAATAAAATAATAATTTATTTTATTTTATTTTTTAACTTTTTATCTTTGGAAAAAATAAACATAGAATGCAATTTACATACTGAAAAATCAGGTTAGACACACAACAGGAGCTTGTGAGCAATGGAAGATGGAGTTTAAAAATAGAAAATAAGAAAAATATTTCTAAAAGCATACACTAAAGAAAAAAAAATTCATAAATATCGAAATTACTAATAAGGAAGTAAAAAAAAGTTGTGAACTGTAAGTGTAAATAGTCTCATTTCTTCTGCCGGACATCTTTTATTAATGACTCTTGGGAGACTGGAAACTTGATCTATTGCAACTTTCAGATCAAGGCTGGAATCTTTCATTAATGGCAAACACAGTGACATTAATCCATTCTCCAAGTTAAATAATATAATAAACTATTGTCATATTGTGTTTCGGATTACGGAACAATGAAAGAAAACATCTTCAGTTTCGCATCAAAGAAAAATAGCTCTCGACGTAAATAAATCTTTACGAATACAGTAAAACCTGTCAAAAACGGAACCCTATCTAAACGGAAAAAATTCTTCGATTTTCTATAATAAAACCTGTGTAAACCGGAATCAATGGGTATCGCATATATTCCCCGTTTGGCAGGTTTCCGTTTTGCACAGATTTTTTTTTTTAACACAGAAAATCTCCCCGTTCCGTTTTGGCAGGTTTCCGTTTTATTACGGTTATGTTTTTGACAGGTTTTATTTTATCTTAAATAAAAAAATACTT